ATGCTGATGCGCTGATGCTGATGCGCTGATGCTGATGCGCTGATGCTGATGCGCTGATGCTGATGCTGATGCTGATGCGCTGATGCTGATGCGCTGATGCTGATGCGCTGATGCTGATGCGCTGATGCTGATGCTGATGCTGATGCGCTGATGCTGATGCGCTGATGCTGATGCGCTGATGCTGATGCGCTGATGCTGATGCTGATGCGCTGATGCTGATGCGCTGATGCTGATGCTGATGCGCTGATGCTGATGCGCTGATGCTGATGCGCTGATGCTGATGCTGATGCTGATGCGCTGATGCTGATGCTGATGCTGACGCTGATGCTGATGCGCTGATGCTGATGCGCTGATGCTGATGCGCTGATGCTGATGCGCTGATGCTGATGCTGATGCTGATGCTGATGCTGATGCTGATGCTGATGCGCTGATGCTGATGCGCTGATGCTGATGCGCTGATGCTGATGCGCTGATGCTGATGCGCTGATGCTGATGCGCTGATGCTGATGCGCTGATGCTGATGCGCTGATGCTGATGCGCTGATGCTGATGCGCTGATGCTGATGCGCTGATGCTGATGCGCTGATGCTGATGCGCTGATGCTGATGCGCTGATGCTGATGCGCTGATGCTGATGCGCTGATGCTGATGCGCTGATGCTGATGCTGATGCGCTGATGCTGATGCGCTGATGCTGATGCGCTGATGCTGATGCGCTGATGCTGATGCGCTGATGCTGATGCGCTGATGCTGATGCGCTGATGCTGATGCGCTGATGCTGATGCTGATGCGCTGATGCGCTGATGCTGATGATGTGATGCTGTGATGCTGATGCGCTGATGCTGATGCTGATGCTGATGCGCTGATGCTGATGCGCTGATGCTGATGCGCTGATGCTGATGCGCTGATGCTGATGCTGATGCTGATGCTGATGATGCTGATGCTGATGCGCTGATGCTGATGCGCTGATGCTGATGCGCTGATGCTGATGCGCTGATGCTGATGCGCTGATGCTGATGCGCTGATGCTGATGCGCTGATGCTGATGCGCTGATGCTGATGCGCTGATGCTGATCGTGATGCTGATGCTGATGCGCTGATGCTGATGCGCTGATGCTGATGCGCTGATGCTGATGCGCTGATGCTGATGCGCTGATGCTGATGCGCTGATGCTGATGCTGATGCTGATGCGCTGATGCTGATGCGCTGATGCTGATGCTGATGCTGATGCTGATGCTGATGCGCTGATGCTGATGCGCTGATGCTGATGCGCTGATGCTGATGCTGATGCGCTGATGCTGATGCGCTGATGCTGATGCGCTGATGCTGATGCGCTGATGCTGATGCGCTGATGCTGATGCGCTGATGCTGATGCGCTGATGCTGATGCGCTGATGCTGATGCGCTGATGCTGATGCGCTGATGCTGATGCGCTGATGCTGATGCGCTGATGCTGATGCGCTGATGCTGATGCGCTGATGCTGATGCGCTGATGCTGATGCGCTGATGCTGATGCGCTGATGCTGATGCGCTGATGCTGATGCGCTGATGCTGATGCGCTGATGCTGATGCGCTGATGCTGATGCTGATCCTGTTGCGCTGATGCTGATGCGCTGATGCTGATGCGCTGATGCTGATGCGCTGATGCTGATGCTGATGCGCTGATGCGCTGATGCTGTGTGCTGATGCTGATGCGCTGATGCTGATGCTGATGCTGATGCTGATGCGCTGATGCTGATGCGCTGATGCTGATGCGCTGATGCTGATGCGCTGATGCTGATGCGCTGATGCTGATGCTGATGCTGATGCTGATGATGCTGATGCTGATGCGCTGATGCTGATGCGCTGATGCTGATGCTGATGCTGATGCTGACGCTGATGCTGACGCGCTGATCCTGATGCGCTGATGCTGATGCGCTGATGCTGATGCGCTGATGCTGATGCGCTGATGCTGATGCGCTGATGCTGATGCTGATGCGCTGATGCTGATGCGCTGATGCTGATGCTGATGCTGATGCTGATGCTGATGCGCTGATGCTGATGCGCTGATGCTGATGCACTGATGCTGATGCGCTGATGCTGATGCGCTGATGCTGATGCGCTGATGCTGATGCGCTGATGCGCTGATGCTGATGCGCTGATGCTGATGCTGATGCGCTGATGCTGATGCGCTGATGCTGATGCGCTGATGCTGATGCGCTGATGCTGATGCGCTGATGCTGATGCTGATGCTGATGCTGATGCGCTGATGCTGATGCGCTGATGCTGATGCACTGATGCTGATGCTGATGCTGATGCGCTGATGCTGATGCGCTGATGCTGATGCTGATGCGCTGATGCTGATGCGCTGATGCTGATGCGCTGATGCTGATGCGCTGATGCTGATGCGCTGATGCTGATGCGCTGATGCTGATGCGCTGATGCTGATGCGCTGATGCTGATGCGCTGATGCTGATGCGCTGATGCTGATGCGCTGATGCTGATGCTGATGCTGATGCTGATGCGCTGATGCTGATGCGCTGATGCTGATGCGCTGATGCTGATGCTGATGCTGATGCTGATGCGCTGATGCTGATGCGCTGATGCTGATGCTGATGCTGATGCGCTGATGCTGATGCGCTGATGCTGATGCGCTGATGCTGATGCGCTGATGCTGATGCTGATGCTGATGCGCTGATGCTGATGCGCTGATGCTGATGCGCTGATGCTGATGCGCTGATGCTGATGCTGATGCGCTGATGCTGATGCGCTGATGCTGATGCTGCTGATGCTGATGCTGATGCGCTGATGCTGATGCGCTGATGCTGATGCTGATGCTGATGCTGATGCGCTGATGCTGATGCGCTGATGCTGATGCGCTGATGCTGATGCGCTGATGCTGATGCGCTGATGCTGATGCGCTGATGCTGATGCGCTGATGCTGATGCGCTGATGCTGATGCGCTGATGCTGATGCGCTGATGCTGATGCGCTGATGCTGATGCGCTGATGCTGATGCGCTGATGCTGATGCGCTGATGCTGATGCGCTGATGCTGATGCGCTGATGCTGATGCGCTGATGCTGATGCGCTGATGCTGATGCGCTGATGCTGATGCGCTGATGCTGATGCGCTGATGCTGATGCGCTGATGCTGATGCGCTGATGCTGATGCGCTGATGCTGATGCGCTGATGCTGATGCGCTGATGCTGATGCTGATCCTGTTGCGCTGATGCTGATGCGCTGATGCTGATGCGCTGATGCTGATGCGCTGATGCTGATGCGCTGATGCTGATGCTGATGCGCTGATGCGCTGATGCTGATGCTGATGCTGATGCGCTGATGCTGATGCTGATGCTGATGCGCTGATGCTGATGCGCTGATGCTGATGCGCTGATGCTGATGCGCTGATGCTGATGCGCTGATGCTGATGCTGATGCTGATGCTGATGATGCTGATGCTGATGCGCTGATGCTGATGCGCTGATGCTGATGCGCTGATGCTGATGCGCTGATGCTGATGCGCTGATGCTGATGCGCTGATGCTGATGCGCTGATGCTGATGCGCTGATGCTGATGCTGATGCTGATGCTGATGCGGTGATGCTGATCGTGATGCTGATGCTGATGCGCTGATGCTGATGCGCTGATGCTGATGCGCTGATGCTGATGCGCTGATGCTGATGCGCTGATGCTGATGCGCTGATGCTGATGCGCTGATGCTGATGCTGATGCGCTGATGCTGATGCGCTGATGCTGATGCTGATGCTGATGCTGATGCGCTGATGCTGATGCGCTGATGCTGATGCTGATGCTGATGCTGATGCTGATGCTGATGCGCTGATGCTGATGCTGATGCTGATGCTGATGCGCTGATGCTGATGCGCTGATGCTGATGCGCTGATGCTGATGCGCTGATGCTGATGCGCTGATGCTGATGCGCTGATGCTGATGCGCTGATGCTGATGCGCTGATGCTGATGCGCTGATGCTGATGCGCTGATGCTGATGCGCTGATGCTGATGCGCTGATGCTGATGCGCTGATGCTGATGCTGATGCTGATGCTGATGCGCAGATGATGATGCGCTGATGCTGATGCTGATGCGCTGATGCTGATGCGCTGATGCTGATGCTGATGCTGATGCGCTGATGCTGATGCGCTGATGCTGATGCTGATGCTGATGCTGACGCTGATGCTGACGCGCTGATCCTGATGCGCTGATGCTGATGCGCTGATGCTGATGCGCTGATGCTGATGCGCTGATGCTGATGCGCTGATGCTGATGCTGATGCGCTGATGCTGATGCGCTGATGCTGATGCTGATGCTGATGCTGATGCTGATGCTGATGCGCTGATGCTGATGCGCTGATGCTGATGCACTGATGCTGATGCGCTGATGCTGATGCGCTGATGCTGATGCGCTGATGCTGATGCTGATGCGCTGATGCTGATGCGCTGATGCTGATGCTGATGCGCTGATGCTGATGCGCTGATGCTGATGCGCTGATGCTGATGCGCTGATGCTGATGCGCTGATGCTGATGCGCTGATGCTGATGCGCTGATGCTGATGCGCTGATGCTGATGCGCTGATGCTGATGCGCTGATGCTGATGCGCTGATGCTGATGCGCTGATGCTGATGCGCTGATGCTGATGCGCTGATGCTGATGCGCTGATGCTGATGCGCTGATGCTGATGCGCTGATGCTGATGCAGATGATGACAATGGTAGTCGGGTAACAGCATGGGTTGACTGGGGGCAGCACCATGTGACACAGGTTGAGTCACTTGGCATATCACAGTATGGTACTGCATGGCAAGGCATTTTATGCCATGGCATGGCATGGTATGGCATGGCAGGGCACAGCAGATCTGACCTGGGAAACAGCCTGCTTGAGCAACTGTAGAGCCTCCCCACTCTCCTCCACGCGCTCACTCGCATCCTCCATGTACCTCACTGCCCCCGCCTCCCTCCCCTCCCCTCCCCTCCTCCCTGCCCTGCCCACAAAGACAGGGCACAACAAGTCTCACCTGGGAAACGGCTTGCTTGAGCAGCTGCAGCGCCTCCCCACTCTCCTCCACGCGCTCACTCGCGTCCTCCATGTACCTCACTGCCCCCGCCTCCTTCCGTTCCCCTCCCCCCTGCCCTCCCCCTCCCCCCTGCCCTCCCCACCCCCCTGCCACGCCTCCGGAGGGGTCGAGGCTGGCAATGCGCCATGATTGGTGCATGGGGCCCAGGAACCAGATGCGCGACTGGCGGGGGGGAGGGGGGAGAGGGGAGAGGGGGGGATGGGGATAGGAAGAAGATTGGTGAATGGAAAAGGGAACAGGGCGGATGTGCATAGGACCCAGGAACCAGATGTAAGACTGGGAAAGCGGGGAGAGGGGAGGGTAGAGGGGGGCGGGAATAAGATGGGATGTGCATGGGACACAGGAACCAAATGCAAGACCGGGGGGGAGAAAGGGGGTGATTCAAAAGGAAGAGGGAGGGACACGCATGGTGACAGCAATCGCACCTTGTAACCAAGTTACCTAAGCAAGTTACCCGATCACCTGATTACCACATTACCACACGTTGTTACCCGATTACTGCACATTGCTGTCGCAGCTCATGGCCCAGTATTTAAGCACCGTGTCGCCTTGTCATCTGGTTACAACACCTTCGTGTTGCCTGGTAACCGCACCTTGTTGTCACGGCTCATAGTCCAGTAGTTGAGCACCGTGTCATCATCCATCCACAGAAAGCCCTCCGCCATGGGGTGCCACGTCAGCAGCTTCGGCAGCACACTGTAGTGCAGCGAGCCGGGCGGCAAGTCGTGGCCGTGCCCAGTCTCCTTCACAGGGGACTGGGTGGACAGGCAAGCGGATGCGGGAGGGGGCGAGAGAGAATTGCCAGGTTCAGAGTGGTGAGGAGGAAGGCATGAGGGTGGTGAGTGGGATTCCTCTAGCACATGGACAAGTCATGGCCCTGACTCAAGCCCTGTCTCTTCCAGCGCTGTTTCCCTCTTCTTCTTTCACCAAGCTGTTTTCATCCCCGTTCCGCCCTTCCAAGTTCCACCACACGTACCTCCACCATGCTCCGGTCAGGTCAGCATCCCAGCACTGTGAAACAGCGAGGATGCGCTGGAAGAGCGAGCCGTAGAGCCGTAGAGCCATTCCCTTACCCCCTCCCCTCACCCCTTACCACGGCCAAGCACCCCCAACCCCCTTACCCACGCACCTGCAGCACGCCCAGGTCAGCATCCCCGTATTCAGAGACGGCAAGGATGTGCTGGAAGAGCGAGCCATAGAGCGAGTGCAGGAGGTCAAGCACCCCCAAATCAGCATCGCCAAACTCAGACAGCGAGGATGCGTTGGAAGAGAGATCCGTAGAGCGAGTGAATGAGGTCGAGCGTGACAGGCATCTGCTGCGGGCGCTTGTAGTTGACGACCAGCACGACGTTGCGGGATAATCCCCCTTCTTAAACCCATCCTTTCCCGCTCTCTTCCCCATTCCCGCTTAAACTGCGCTCGCTCTGCTTCACCCTTCCCCACTCGACTACACGCACCTCAAGCACCCCCAAATCAGCATCCCCAAACTCGGAGACAGCAAGAATGCGTTGGAATAGCCCCCCATAAAGCGAGTGAATGAGGTCGAGCGTGACGGGCATCTGCTGCGGGCGCTTGTAGTTCACAATGAGCACGATGTTGCGGTAAAACTGCTGCCACCGCCTCTGGTTTATCAGATCCGTTGGCTTTGCCTTGCGCCGCTTGCGCACGGCCTGGGAGGGATGGAGGGGAGGGGAGGAGGGAAGGGGCAACATGGAGCAGTGAGCAGTGAGCAGTGAGCAGTGAGCAGTGAGCAGTGAGCAGAAAAAGATGTTGCGGAAGAACTCCTGCCACCTCCGCTGGTTTATCAGATCCGTTGGTTTGGCTTTGCGCCGCTTGCGCACGGCCTGGTGGGGAGGAAGGAGGGACGGAGAGATGAGATGGTTGGAGAAACATGAAAATGGATCCGCTTTGGGCATGGAGCATTGAGCAGCATAGAGCGGCATTGAGCAGTGCAAAGTGAGTAGTGAGCAGTGGGCAACGGGCACTCAGCAATGTGCATTGTTGTGGTGGAATAGAACTGCTGGCGTTGCTGCTGCGGGCATGGGCCACATGCGGCATCCATGCGAATGGCATGTACCAAAGTGATGTGCTCACACCGAGACGGGCGTAAGAATGCACAACATGGCATGGCGCGATGTCATGGCACGGCACCGCGGCTTGGCATGGTATGCAGTGGGATGAACATGGCATGGCATGGCATGGTGGCATGGCATTGCATGGCACGCATGGCATGGCATGGCATGGCATGGCATGGCATGGCATGGCATGGCATGGTGTGGCATGGCATGGCATGGCATGGCACGGCATGGCATGGCATGGCATGGCATGGCGTGGCATGGCATGGCATGGCATGGCATGGTGTGGCATTGAATGGCATGGCATGTCTTAGTGGCATGGCTAACCTTGGGAGGAGGAGGAGGGGAAGCAGGAGGAGCAGCTGCAGCAACACAAGAGGACAGGAAAGGCAAAGAAAGGCAAAGAAAGGCAAAGAGAGCAAAGAAAGGCAAAGAGAGCACAGAAAGGCAAAGAGAGCACAGAAAGGCAAAGAGAGCACAGAAAGGCAAAGAGAGCACAGAAAGGCAAAGAGAGCACAGAAAGGCAAAGAGAGCACAGAAAGGCAAAGAGAGCACAGAAAGGCAAAGAGAGCACAGAAAGGCAAAGAGAGCACAGAAAGGCAAAGAGAGCACAGAAAGGCAAAGAGAGCACAGAAAGGCAAAGAGAGCACAGAATGAATCAATACGCGTGACTCGAATGCTCTACACTCAAAAGGCCCACACTCATGACTCTCATGCTAAAAGTTCAAGATTGATAGGCTTTACAGAAATCACAGTGCAGGGTCATACCATGGAGGTGCATGGGATTTGCGGGATTCATCTCTTTCTCCGCCTCCTTTGCTGCACCGCCACCTGCTGCTGCTGCTGCTGCTGCTCCACTCCCCCCACCACTCGCCCCACTCCCCCCAGCAGCAGCAGTAGCAGCATTGGATTGAGCTAGCGCGCTGGCTAGCTGCTGATGTCGCCACGAGAGTGAGGCAACCTGAGGGAGAGGAGAGAGGAGAGAAGAGGAGAGAGAAGAGAGGAGAGAGGAGAGAGAGAGACGAGGGAGGTGAGAGGAGAGAAGAGGAGAGAAGAGGAGAGAGGTGAGAAGAGGAGAGAAGAGGAGAGAAGAGGAGAGAAGAGGAGAGAAGAGGAGAGAAGAGGAGAGAAGAGGAGAGAAGAGGAGAGAAGAGGAGAGAAGAGGAGAGAAGAGGAGAGAAGAGGAGAGAAGAGGAGAGAAGAGGAGAGAGGTGAGAAGAGGAGAGAAGAGGAGAGAAGAGGAGAGAAGGGAGAAGAGAGGAGAGAAGAGGAGAGAGGTGAGAGGGGAGAGGCGGGTGGTGTGAGGGTTGTGAAGGTAATGGTTTCACATGTACTCACAGTTCCCGGTTTCCCGATTTCCCGGTTTCCCACCGCGCACATACCCACAGCACCACAGCGAGCACGGCGAGCAGCACGAGCGCCAAGCACGCGGTGCACAGCAGCAGCAGCGCGCGCACCGGCAGCACCACTCCCCCCTCCCGCGCGCCTGCCTTGCGCCTCCGCGCCTGATGGGCGGGCGGGCGAGAGGAAAGGGGGAGGGAAACGGAGAGAGCGTTGGGGGGGGGTTGGGGAAGGGGGAAGGGGTTGGGAGGGGGGAAGAGAGCGTTGAGCGGTATTAGCAGAAAGGGGGAGATGCGCGTGCGCGGAGGGGCGCGGAACTAAGAATGGAGCGACGGAGATCGCGCGGAGCGGAGGGCGGGGAGAGAGGCATGGTGGGATGAGAGCAGGCGATAGGGCGGGAGGGAAAGCGGAAGGGAGGGCGGAAGGGAGGGCGGGAAAGGGTGAGGGCGACTGGGGATCGGGACGTGCGCGACTCACGGAGGGTCGTCTGGCGGAGGAGCGGGAGAGGCCCATGAGACTCAGCCCTGCCATGCTGGCGGGGCGTGCGGACAAGGTTACCACGTAACAGTCCTCGCGGGGCGTGCGCACAATGTAACCACTTTACAAAATCTCAATATCGGTTCCAATGCAATACGCGAAGGGCGCGCGGAGTGCGCGCGCAGCTTCTGAACCCTTCTGCGGACCGCGGAGGGCTGCGACCGCCGGTCGACACGCAAGGGAAGCGGTCGGCGGAATTGCGACGAGAGCGGAGGAATGTTCTGGCGCAGGGTTGCGAGCCCAGGCGGCAGTCCAGTGAAGCCGATCGACTGCAGCTATCGGCACTATCTAGACATTTGCTATCGGCACTATCTCGACATTTGCTATCGGCAGTGCCTAGACGCTATCGGCACTACCTATGCGTTTGCTATCGGAAACGTCAGACGCATTGACGGCTGGACGCCTCGCGATCGTCGTGGCACGCCACTGGTGGCGCGGAAGCCGGAATGAGTCGCTGCCGCTGCTGGCGGTGGTGGTGATGATGCTGGCCGAACGGATGAGCTTGCTTTTCCCCGCTGTGTGCCACTCACCACTGTTGTGGCGATACGCGCTAAAAACAGTGTCAGTACTTGAACGGTGATCCGAACCAGTAACATCGCGCAAACATACGACCAGCAGGTACAAGTACGTAACTCCTTTTGAAAATAATGTATGCTGAGGAATTTACAATGAATTCGAGGTAAACACATAAATGTTAATCATGGCTCTGGGCTTGTTTCAAGCCGGCACCACAACCTGCCCTTCAATGCCTCTCTCACCCTCCGTTACGCTACCACTGCTGTCACTGCCGCTGCCACTGCTGCTGCTCCCTGCTGTCCCGGCTGCTTCAGTTGCGCCTGCTGCCTCGGCGACTCTGGCGCGCATGAGATTGCTGCTGTAGCCATAGCCCAGCGACGACCCACTCAGCGTGGACAGCTGTGCAAGGGACGGCAGAGGATGCGGTGAGAAGGAAAGGAAGAGGCAGAGGAGAGAGGGAGTAAAGAAGAGAGGAAGAGAGAGGAGGCGAGGCAGAGCAAAGGAGTAAAAGGAGGAAGGCAAGGAAACGGAACAAGATTCACGCTGAATCGGCATCAATGCTCCAACGGCATCGAGACACACAGGGAGATTCACTTCACGTACCATCTGTGACTTTTGAGTACCATATGTGACTCAATAGTCCCGGCCCCATCTAGCAATGACACGACTCACCCCTGGGAGCTGAGATGACCATTCAGCAGCCCAAACAGGGGCTCATACCTGTGCCCCCATAGCGCCACCAATCAGTCAGCCCTGCCACGTGTCTCACCTCTGTCAGCTCTGCCAGGTGGCGCGTTCTGAAGTCGTCCAGTGTGGCGGCTATCTCTGCTGCTGGCAGCTTCGCCTGGACGGCGGGCATGGGGGAGGTGGGAGGGAGAGAGCGGCACGCATAGGGGAGGTGGGAGCGCGAGACATGAGGGAAGGGGGAAGGAAGGAGAGGGGAAGAGGACAATAAGCAGCAACTATCAGAACCCTCGACTCAAGCCTACCTGGGCGAGCACGGCAGCAGCAAGCTGCAGGCTGGGTTCGAGTGTTTCAGGAACAACGGCAGTAGCACCGGCCTTCTCAAGGTTAATCCCATGGGTCACGTCGTGTGCTCGCACAAACGTCTTCACGTGCGGGAAGCTTATTTTCTACACCACCACGAAACCCTTGTGTGCACTCCTACCTGCGCGAGAACAGCCGCGGCAAGCTGCAGGCTGGGTTCGAGTGTTTCAGGGACAACGGCAGTCGCCCCCGCCTTCTCGAGGTTAATCCCGTGGGTCACGTCGTGTGCTCGCACAAACGTCTTCACATGCGGGAAGCTCTTGCTCAGCGCCCACACCGCGCGGTAGTTGGCGCCCGGTGTGTCTAGTGTGATCACTGCTGCTGCTGCTCGCTCTGCCCCCACCTTGTGCAACACCTGGTGGGGGGGGGGGGGGGGGTTGGGGCGGGGCAGGAAGGGGGGAAGGGAAGGCAGGGGTAAGAGTCATGCAATGTCTCCCAGGGGCTCCTAAAGGGAGAGGGCAGGAAAGAAAGGAATGTTCCATCGCGCATGAATAATCGGATTTGAGGTCAGGTTTCAGGTCAGGTTTGAGGTCAGATTTGACGTCAGGTTTGAGGTCAGGTTTGACGTCAGGTTTGAGGTCAGGTTTGAGGTCAGGTTTGACATCAGGTTTGAGGTCAGGTTTGAGGTCAGGTTTGAGGTCAGGTTTGACGTCAGGCTTGTGGTTCAGGTTTGACATCAGGTTTGACGTCAGGTTTGAGGTCAGGTTTGAGGTCAGGTTTGACGTCAGGTTTGAGGTCAGGTTTGAGGTCAGGTTTGACGTCAGGTTTGAGGTCAGGTTTGACGTCAGGTTTGAGGTCAGGTTTGAGGTCAGGTTTGACGTCAGGTTTGACGTCAGGTTTGACGTCAGGTTTGTGGTTCAGGTTTGACATCAGGTTTGAGGTCAGGTTTGAGGTCAGGTTTGAGGTCAGGTTTGAGGTCAGGTTTGAGGTCAGGTTTGAGGTCAGGTTTGACGTCAGGTTTGAGGTCAGGTTTGAGGTCAGGTTTGAGGTCAGGTTTGACGTCAGGTTTGAGGTCAGGTTTGAGGTCAGGTTTGAGGTCAGGTTTGAGGTCAGGTTTGACGTCAGGTTTGAGGTCAGGTTTGAGGTCAGGCTTGAAGTCAGGTTTGACGTCAGGTTTGAGGTCAGGTTTGAGGTCAGGTTTGACGTCAGGTTTGAGGTCAGGTTTGAGGTCAGGTTTGAGGTCAGGTTTGACGTCAGGTTTGAGGTCAGGTTTGAGGTCAGGTTTGACGTCAGGTTTGAGGTCAGGTTTGACGTCAGGTTTGAGGTCAGGTTTGACGTCAGGTTTGACGTCAGGTTTGAGGTCAGGTTTGAGGTCAGGTTTGAGGTCAGGTATGACGTTAGGTTTGAGGTCAAGTTTGAGGTCAGGTTTGAGGTCAGGTTTGAGGTCAGGTTTGACGTCAGGTTTGAGGTCAGGTTTGAGGTCAGGTTTGAGGTCAGGTTTGAGGTCAGGTTTGAGGTCAGGTTTGAGGTCAGGTTTGAGGTCAGGTTTGACGTCAGGTTTGACGTCAGGTTTGAGGTCAGGTTTGAAGTACAAGGAAACTGAAATGAGGGAATTGCACGGGCGGGCGGGAAATGCACAGGGGAGGTGGGGAAGGGGGAGGCACTGACATCGCGGCTGCCAGCGTCGCCGAAGTAAACCGGGAGGTCGAGGGAGCGCCCAGCGCTGACCCGCTCACTGCTCACGTCCAGCGCCACAAAGGGGATGAGCCGCTCCGACAGCAGCTGGCCTATTATCTGACAAGAGGTGTGGGGGGGATAGGGATGGGTGAGAGTGATGGGAGAGATAGTTGCGAGGAAGGGAGCGCCCGGCTCTCACCCGCTCGCTGCTGACGTCCAGCGCCACGAAGGGGATCAGCCGCTCCGATAGCAGCTGGCCTATTATCTGAGAAGAGGTGTGGGGGGGGGAGGGGATGGGTGTCAGTGGTGTGAGCGATGATGTGTATGGGTATGTTTAAGGGAGTGACATGAGAAGCGATGATGTGGATGGGTATGTTTAAGGGAGTGACATGAGAAGCGATGGCAAGCAGATAGAAACGATGACTTAAGAATGCTCACACTGCAGCAGCAGTGAGGTGAGCGCAGCTGGCACACAAGGGAAGTCAGCCTGGCAATGACGGACAGAAATTTACCTGGCAGAGAGCGCACAGGAAGGCTCAACTGGTAGCAACAGAGAGCTCACCTGGTAGCAACAGAGAGCTCACCTGACCCACGCGGCCGAAGCCACAGATAATGATGTGACCCTGAAGGTCGTCCGTCTGTTGGGCGGGCGTTGGCATGGCGAGAGCAAATAGAGAGCGCGAGAACGGGGGATGAGAGGGCAAATGAGACGATGGGGCGTGGCAGGCGAAAGAAGCTCAACTGGAAGTGGTATTGCATCAGGTAGCACTGGAGATATGGAGCAGACAGCATGGGCGTCTCACCTCGGCCTCGTGGGGCTGCAGCGAGCGCACGTCCTGCTGGTCAAAGCGCGAGGCGATGAGCTGCCCCACTGCAGCCAGCCATGGCGTGATGGCCATGCTGAGCCCCACCACTATGAACAGCAGCGAGCATAGCTGCGCGCTCATTATGCCCTGATAGGAATAGCGATGGGGATGGGGATGGGGAGAGGGGGGTGGATTGGATGGGGAGAGGAGTGGGCGAGCCAGAAGCCATGGCGTGATGGCCATGCTCAGCCCCACCACTATGAAGAGAAGTGAGCACAGCTGCGCACCTGTGATGCCGTGTGGGACGGGGGGGGCGGGAGGGGGATGGGGAGGGGATAGGGAAGGGAAGGTGATGGGGATGGGAGGAGATGAAGGGGTGGAAGGAAGAGAGGAGTGGTCGGAGAAGTAGTGAGCACAGAGAGCAGCTGGCGCACGACGCAACAGACAACCCTTCTTCCCTCCACATCCCTCTATCAACTCCGCCCCTTGCTTCCCCCCACACGCACCTTGCTGGCAGCCTCTCCGAATGCAACAAATGCTAACTCCAACTGGCCCGTGCGCACAGCAGCACACCAGAGACTGATGAGATGCCAAAGCGGCGGCCCATGCCCGCCACGCTAACCCTCCCTCCCTCCTCTCCCCCCCACCCAATCTCCGCTCCTTGCTTCACCCAATGCTCACCTTGCTGACAGCCTCTCCAAACGCAACAAACGCGAATTCCCCTCCAGGTGCGAGCAGCAGGCCCGTGCGCACAGCAGCGACGGGCGAGAGGCCGAAGAGGCGCCCCATGCCCGCCAGCAGAGCTGTCTTGCCCGCTATGAGCACCGCCAGGGCTGCCAGGATGAGGGGGAAGCGCGCCACGAGCAGCTTGGGATCGATAGACATGCCCACCTGCGTGGGGGAGAAAGAGGATGGGGGGGTGTTAAGATGGATGTGCGGTAGGGGGTTGAGCGTGCGACGGATGCATGGGCAGCAGGCAGAGTCGGGTACCAGACTAGCACCTTGGGGCCTAGCAACAGTGGAGTGTTCAAGAGAGCATGTGAGCATGTGGGCATGAGTGTGAGGACGCGGGTGAGGAAATGCGAGTGAGTGTCTGGCTACTCCGTTGGTGGCGAAAATGTGTGCAGGCACACTCTTGAAGCGCCTCAAAATTTGTCTATTGAGGATGCTAATGTTAATGGTAATGGTAATGGTAGTGGTAATGGTAGTGGTAATGGTAATGGTAATGGTAATAGTAATGGTAATGGTATTGTTAATGGTAATGGTCATGGTAATGGAAATGGTAATGGTAATGATAATGTTAATGTTAATGGTAATGGTAATGGTAATGGTAATGGTAATTGTAATGGTAATGGGGTTCAAAATTACGGTCGTATTTTTGAAAATTTACCGTAAAATACGGAATCGTATTTTACGGTCGTATTTTACGGTAAAATACGATAAATCGTGCTGTTTTAGGGTTGGTTCAAAAATACGGTCGTAATTTACGGTCGAAATTCTGAAACAGTGAACTGTAAAAAGAAATTGCAAGGGGACCCCCTTGAGCGAAGCCTCTCTTTTAAAGTGGGGAAAGGGGGGATTAATTAGGACTGAATTAGTAGGAAATCGCGATGTTCCAGTCGCTATTGCGATGGGGAAATGTGTCGCTGCATTTAGGTACGAGTGAGATCTAGATCTCACCCAGTCTCAGGGTACAAATGTTTGAAAGGTTGGGTTGGGTTAGGTAGAGGGAGTGGGATTTAGAGCGGTTGGGGGGAGTGCATGAGCTGGGAAAATTGGGACGCAAATCTTCCATGTTTGAGCTTGCTGACATTTCGTCATGTAGAAACGTGAAGTGACGAGTTAGCCTATACGATTATGAACCCCCGCTGCCACGTCGCGCAGGGGTCAAGAATGCACCGAGTTAAAATACTCGCGAGTATTTTTTCCTGTGCCAGAACGTTTTCACTCGCTTTTCAAATAATATTCTAGCCGCACAAGGCAGGACGCACGCCTATTGTCTTGAGGAGCATAGGGGAGCAGTTTTTTAGGCATAGATCCGTTGTAGACCATTTAGGCCTGATAGATTAGCAATCTCACATCCCTAGAGGTGGTTGGTAGCAAGTCTGATTTTTTTCTAGCAGAAAAAAAATCTCTAACAAAAATACGGTCGAATTTTTGAAATCTGACCGTAAAATACGATCGTAAAATACGGACCGTATTTTACGGAAACCGTATTTTTCATAATGGTAATGGTAATGGTAGTGGTAATGGTAATGGTAATGGTAATGGTATTCGTAATGGTATTCGTAATGGTAATGGTAGTGGTAATGGTAATGGTAATGGTAATGATAATGGTAATGGTAATGGTAATGGTAATGGTAGTGGTAATGGTAATGGTAATGGTAATGGAAAGATGACACCGTGCGGGGGAGGATGCGCGTAGACGCATGTGCTATCTGAGCTCGTACGCGCATGTGCAAAGAACGTACAGTCATAAAGAAGAGCCCCAGCAGCAGCCCGCGGTAGGGGTTGATGTCTGACTCCACCTGCGGTGGCAGGCGGTGGGGGAGAGGGGGGAGGGAGGGCGCCAAGGAAAAGGAGGGGTAAGGGCGAATAGGACGGAGGCGGAGGGCCCTAAAAGGGAGGGTGGCGAAGTCAAAGAGTTTAGGTGCACGAGTCCGTGAGGGCAGGAGAGTGTTGCGATTCGGTGAGAGAGAGACCTCCGCAGGTGCAAGGGGAATCACCCAACATTTCCTTTCCCCTCATGTCCCTATGATCCTTCATCGCAATGCCGTTTGCATGAGATGCCTTGACAGCCCAGCACGCATCAGCCAGCCAGTCAAGCACCCACCTGCAGGGCGAATTCCGTCTCTGAGAGCAGCAGGCCCGCCAGAAACGCTCCCAGTGCCATGGACAGTCCCGCCTGCCACGGATGCACACGGGGCAGAGAGAGTTCACAGCAGGGAAGGTAAGGGCTGCTGGCGTGTCAATAAGCAATAGCGGGTGGCAGTGAGGCGGGGCAGCGGAGCAATGAGAATGAGAAGGTGACAGCGGCCAGCAGACCCGTCAGCTTGCATTGCAATGACGCGCCCCATGCTGTCTGCCTGCTACCCTCGCCATGCGCCCCACACCCCTGCTGTGACAGCACACAAGTGATCTCCCAACAAGCACAATGTGGAGGGAAGGCATCTCCAATTCCCCTCGCCATGCCCTTCGTCGCTCCCCCACCCTCTCCCTTTCCGTCATCCGGCCTTGGGCCACCTTAACCGCCTCTCACCCTCCCTGCCGTCCTCCCACCATCCTCACCCGGGCAGTGAGCACGGAGGTACCCAGCACCACAAGCAGAGTGTTGGCGGCAAAGATTTCCGCATTGTGGTTCTCCGCCATGCTGCGGTATATGGGGCGCAGCAGCTGGGGAGAGAGGGGGGGTGAGAGGGGGTGAGAGGGGGTGAGAGGGGGTGAGAGGGGGTGAGAAAGTGTGAGGGCAGGCATGGGTTCAAGATCTCCGCATTGTGGTTCTCCGCCATGCTGCGATAGAAGGGGCGGGGCGCAGCAGCTGGGGGGAGTGGGGAAGGAGAAGGGGAAGGTGGGGGAAGGGGTTGGAGCGGGTGGATGGAGGGGAAACTTGGGCAGGAGGGATCCCGGCTGTGGGCAGTGGATGAGATGGGGCGCAACAGCTGATCTGACGAGCAGTGGAATGGCCATGAGGAACGAGACGGGGGAAGCTTAACAATGAGAGCAGGAACCTTCCCGGTACCACAACCCATGCTGCACCAAGCACTGATCACTTGCCCCTCTGCGTGATCAAGGGAGCAGCACCCACCATCCACTCTTGCCACCCCTCTCAAGACAACTCGAAAGTCACCAGCCTTGCCCCAGCCCCCAGTAGCTGCCCCACCAACCCAAGCACCACGCACCAGTCGGCCGCCCGCAATGATGCCTGCAATGGCGATGACAGCCTTCACTGCCGCCACCCCCAGTGCCTCCGCTATCGCCCTGAAACCCACACCCTGGTGGACAATGCACATGAATAGAGGGAGCAGAGCACGGTTGGTGCCGGAGAGGTGAGGTGCACACTGGAACTGCGCACAGCAGTATTGAAAAGTGATGTGATGGGAGGTAGTAGGTACGGCAGTGCAAGGCATGCGTGTGATGTGATACGATGGAAACGAGGAGTAAAGATTAGTGATGAGATTCGTGTGCACCTCATGAGATTCGTGTTCTACGTATGTAGGAGAGAGTAAGTGTGGTGCAGGCGGATCGGAGGATGAGGCGAACGGAGAGAGGGGAGAGGAGAAGGGGAGGAGGAGAGTGACTCACCCCTCGGGACGAGGTGGGGGAGAGGAGCGGAATGAGGATGAGCAGAACCACCACTGCTAGATCCTGTGGCATGGCGCATGGGGCATGGGATGGGCCATGGCACATGGCACATGGGGCATGGCACATGGGGCATGGCACATGGCACATGGGGCATGGGAGTTAAGGGGTATACAATGGTGGGTGATGGGAAGGATGGACTGGGATGGGAAGGGATGTTACAAACAAATGGGCATGTGCCATGTCACTGAACGGATAGTCATGGGATGGGCAGCTATCATAAAGATGTACATAAAGGGGCGGGCGGGGGGTGGTGCCGGGAAGGAATAAACACATCTTTGCACGAGCAGAGCAGAATGGAGGCTGGGGGCGAAGACGAATGCAGAATGCAGAGCAGCGTGCAGAGCGCAGAGCACAGAGTGGCAAGAAGTGAGGTGCACAACAAGAAGATTCGAGTGCATGCATGCATGTATGCAAGGGTGCAAGCAGCGACCAAGTGTGCAAGGTTGCAAGCAGCGACCAAGTGTGCAAGGGTGCAAGCAGCGACCAAGTGTGCAAGGGTGCATGTGGAAGGTGACCTGGAAGAGCAGCACGGAGAAGGTGGCTCGCCCATGGCGCGACGTGCTCTCCCCTCGCTCTTGCAACACCTGAGGGGAGGCCGGGAGAAGCGGAGGGAGGTGAAGGTTGCGTGCACTGACTGTTCGGTGGAGAATTGGGTAGGCGTTATGTAAACTCGCTCGTTCAAGTTTGTGGTCAAGAAAATAACAGAGGCTTATGCGGGAGCAACAGAGACCCACCTGAGGTGCAACAGGGACCCACCTGAAAGAAACAGAGACACACCTGAGGGACAAAAGAGACCCACCTGGAGGACAACGGCGGTGGAGGAGAGGGCAAGGCCGTTGCCAATGACAATGGCTGCTGGGCCTGACACACGCGCCACTGCCAGCACACACACCCCTATCGCTAGCGCTGACACCAGCACCTGGCAGTACCGCCGGGGAGAGTGGTGAAAGGGGTTTGAGAATTCTCAAAAGCGACACCTCAGTTGGAAAATGGAGGGAGAGGAAGCGGGAAAAGGGAGGAAGACGAGGAGGCGAGTCAGATGGGACGCCCAGAAGAAAGAAAGGGTTTCACAGATGGGTAAAGGTGCTGAATAATGGCAGAAGAAATGGTTTGAGAATTGAGCAGATACGGAAGAGAGCAGAAGGGAGGGTGAGAGGCAGAGGGCAAGAGGCTGCGGAAAACAGGCAGTGTTGAAGACGCGGCCCCCAACAGGCACAACAGGCAGAGGGGGGCACGCACCTGAGCAGAGCCGAGTCCAAAGACGTATTTGCGCATGGAGCGAAGGCGCTCCAGGGATAGCTGGTGTGACGACCAGGGGAGGGGTTTGACAGGGAGAGAGGGACGTGGAGTGAGAGGGCAGGAGAAGAGGAGAGGATGGTGAGAGCGAGCGAAAAGATGGCGTGATCCAGAAGGTTCACTGGCATGCGTGAGAACACAAGAGTAGTCGTGGAAATCATGTGCATATTCCATTGTGGAGACACAGTACTGACTGACCTCGAGGCCAATGTTGAACATGAGGAAGAGGACGCCAAAGTCTGCAAAAGCCTTGGTGCACGCACCTCCCATTTTAGTGAGGGTGTTTTTGAGACGTCTCAAAAACTCTGCAAGAGCCTTGGTGCACACACCTCCCATTGTACTATCATGGCAGCAATGTCACCTACCTCCCATTTTACTATCATGGCAGCAACGTCACCTACCTCCCATTTTACTATCATGGCAGCAACGTCACCTACCTCCCATTTTACTATCATGGCAGCAATGTCACCTACCTCCCATTTTACTATCATGGCAGCAACGTCACCTACCTCCCATTTTACTATCATGGCAGCAACGTCACCTACCTCCCATTTTACTATCATGGCAGCAACGTCACCTACCTCCCATTTTACTATCATGGCAGCAACGTCACCTACCTCCCATTTTACTATCATGGCAGCAACGTCACCTACCTCCCATTTTACTATCACGGCAGCAACGTCACCTACCTCCCATTTTACTATCATGGCAGCAACGTCACCTACCTCCCATTTTACTATCATGGCAGCAACGTCACCTACCTCCCATTTTACTATCATGGCAGCAACGTCACCTACCTCCCATTTTACTATCATGGCAGCAACGTCACCTACCTCCCATTTTACTATCATGGCAGCAACGTCACCTACCTCCCACCCATTCAGTATAAGCAAAGACAGCACGAGTGACTGACGGACCTCGAGGCCAATGTTGAACATGAGGAAGACCACGCCAAACTCTGCAAGAGCCTTGGTGCCGTGCACGTGCTTTATGATTGAGAGTGCGTATGGGCCGATGAGTGCGCCCGCTGCCAGGTACCCCAGCACTGGGCTGCCTGCATGACAGGGAAACATATAAGGGGAAGGAGGTGTGAGGGAGTGAGCGGAGAAGGAGTGTTGAGCTTTGGTGGCATGCATGCAAGCACATGCGCACCCAGCAGGCTTTTGAGAAATCTCAGCAGCATGGCATGGCAGCAGCATTGCATGGTGAGAGGGAGGGAGAGTACCTCCGGGCAGCTTCTGGAAGATGGGGACGAAGACGACACTGGCGAGCAGCAGCCACAGCACATCAAACAGCTGTGTCTCCTCCTCGTTCGGCTGGTGTAGTGAAGGGGCGGAGGAGAGAGGGGAGAGGGGGAGAGAGGAGGAATGACAGGAGTGGAAGGATGAGCACACAGAGATAGGGGCAGAGGGGTGGTAGGAACGCAGCAGAGCACGGAAAGTGATGGAACCAAACCAGGGAAAGGCCGTGCATATTGGAAAAGTCTGTGTGGTAAGGGCACAAACAAAGACCATGAGAGTGAGGAAGAGGAGGACAGGGAGGAGGGGAACAGTGTCCTCCCAGCACCTGCATGTGACTCACCTCGTGTCGGGGCAGTTTGTCAATGAGCGCCTTGGCTCGCCCCACCACCCCCTGCACTGCAGACACCACTGGGCTACCCGAGGTCACCGGCCCTCCTCCTTGCTGCTGCTGCCCCACCACCCCCCCTGCTGCTTCGTGTGTAGCGGCGTCCACAGCAGCTTCCCCCAGTCCCCCCGCCTGCAGGGCGTCCATCTGCATCACTGTGGCGGGGGGTGCGTGCCCGCCCCCCCTGTGCGCCATGCGCGCCTTGAGCGCAACGCCGCTGGGGTGGCGGTTGGGGGAAAGGAAACAGGGGAAACATGTATGAGTGAGGGAGAAACGAGGATGGGATAAACGAGGACGGGAGAAGGAACGGCGAGCCAAGCAACATGGTCCATAAGCGAAGCAGAGGAGCAAGAATCAGCATAGCAGCAATCATGCTGCCTGGCGCACAGAAGCTTTCCAGTTCAGGCAGCAGCGAAGAAGGCAGGGAAAACATTTGAAGCAGCAGGCAGCACACTGTGAGCAGCACAGCACATGGGCACTGACTGACCCGAGGAGGAGCACGGTGAGCGCGAGCAGCACTTTGGGCAGGTGGCGCAGCAGCGGGGGCATGGCAGATCGCACCCACTTGAGTGCATCCTGCACCTCATGGCCGTCCGCTGAGAAGAATGACGCTGAGAAGAACTGCGATGACTTCTTGGTGGAGGAGGAGGCGGAGGAAGAGGAAGAGGAGGAGGAGGAGGAGGAGGAGCAGGGGCTTGGAAGATGGGGAGGAGGAGGTGGCCTGCGCGGCAGCAGGAGACGACGCGGAGGGGGGAGTGGGGGAAGCAGCAGCAGCAGCAGCAGCAGTTTCATCTGAGCCAGGGGCTGCTGCTGCCGAAGCGGCAACAGCTGTTAGTTCCTCCACCTTCTCCTCCTCTACTCGCGCCTCTCCTGAATCACCCTTTAGCACATCAGCAGTGCCTGCCGGGCCGCTAGGTTCCAGATCAGTCCCCCCTCGTCCCTTCACCTCGTCCCTCATCCCATCCTTCCCCTCCTCACTGACCACCACGCTCCTTTGCCCGACCCCCTTCTCCTCCCCTGCGCCCTCCTCCTCTCCAACATTTCCTCCCTTCTTCCCCATTCCCTCTGCCTTCCCCACTGTCTCTGCAACAACCTCCCCCACACCCGCCTTCTCCTCTCCACCCTTCACACTAACCACCTCCCCGTCAGCAGACTCACTTCCCACCTCTCCACCCGAGTCCCTACCTGCCTCCCTATCAGATTCCTTATCTGAGCCCTTATCTGAGTCCCTGTCCGAGTCGCTGTCAGAGTCGGTGGTGGGCATGCCAGCAGCGGCCCGTCCGCCCTTCACAGTGGCGCGCACCGCGGCTGACACGCCCGCCACCTCGCTCGCCAGCAGCGCCGCCTTCTCCGCGGCTAGCTTGGCCGCCTCCGCCTCCGCCTGGGATGGGGGGGCGGGTGTGGGAGGACGAACAGACAGGAAGCAGAAGCAGTGTTCACAGCGAGGTGGCAGGCAGCAGAGGAGGGAAGAAAGCTGGGCTAAAAAAGGCGACAGTCCTGGGTTGCTGGCATAATGATAAATCTCATTTGGGCCTCAACCAACAGCATCACAAGATAAATCTCCCCTCTTGGCACTAGACGGCGCCCCATTGCCCTGTACACACCTTGGCGATATCAGTAACCAGTTTCTCCGCCCTCGCCAGCGCCTTGGCGGCCTCCGCCACGCTCTGGCTCGCCTCCAGCTCGAACGCCACCGCCCTCTCCGCCACGCCCATGCGCTCCCCCACCTCCTCCTCCGCCTGCCCCGCGCGCGCCCTTGCCTCCCCCGCTGCCGCCACCAGCGCGGACGCCTCCTCCTGCGCCCTCACACGCCTACCAGTCGCTTGCGCGGCTGCCTCCGTCCGCGTCCTCAGCTCCGCCTCCCGCTGCGCAAGCTCCTCGCGCACCTCTTGCACCAAGTTAACTACGCCCGACCGCAAGCTTTCCCCCTCCTGAATCCCCTGGTCCGCCATCCCCGCCTCCACCGCCTGTTGCTGCGCTTCTGCTGCCACCAGCACCTCCGCCTGCTCGCTAAACGCCGCCTCGGCCTGCCGCAGCGCATCCTGCGCCGACGCCTCCTCCGCCAGCTCCGCCTCCACCTGCGCCAGCGCCGCATCCGCGGCGGCTTCCGCCTTGGCGGCGGCGTCAGAGATCTCTATGGCGCGTTCCGCCACTCTGCGCGCCTCCTCCTCCGTCTCTACGGTCCGCGCCTTCGCCTTTTCCAGCTCCGCCTCCGCCGCGCGCAGCAGCTCGCGGAGCTTATCCAGCGCGGATGACCCCCCGCTGCCGCTGCTTCCTCCACCGCTGCTGATGCTGCTACTGGAGGTTTTGGTGCGCGCCTTGGGCTCAGCGGCGGGTGATCCTGGATTGACGGGAGAAGTTCAACACGACGCAAGCGATGCACACGATCGTACACGCCCCTAATTTCCGCGAAGTAAGACAGATTGTGCGAAATGTATGGAGTTTAACCCGAAGAGGTCAACGTTAACGTCGAGAGGGACGGACCCTGGGTACCTACCTTGGGAAGTCGAGCTCGCTGGTTCCGCCGCCACGTCGACCGCCTCGGCAGAGGCTGAATAATCGACTCCGCCATCGCCGTCAGCAACTGCACGCACGGCGACGTGCTGACGTGGACGAGTGGATCGAGAGTTCGGTGCGGGTGCTGATGTGCGTGTTGCTGCAGATGGGAACGAGGTACGAGCAATCTGCGAGCTTACGCGACGATCGACGACGCTGTGCGACGCAATGTGACCGTGCGGAGAGGAATTGGAGTCATTGGGGCGACGTCGTGGCGTCGCGAGGAACGATCGCGCTGTTTCGGACGCGCTGACTGAACCCGCGAGACTAACGGGATGCATCGCGATGGCGTAGTATCGACCCTACTCTAGGAAACAATTCGCTTGCGATGGAGGACCGAGGGGAAAAAATAAAAAGACGGAACGTTGCACACGAACCGGCTAATGATCAGCCAAGTTCCTGAGCATGGCGGCTCCCTAGCAGCAATTGCTCTGAAAAATAAGTGGCTAAAAAACAACCCCCGAGGTTAGAGGATCAACCGAGGAACAGCACAGAACACCCGCGTGCCGAGGCAGCAGCGCACTGGCTGGTGATCATGCTGACGGGGCAGCAGAAGGCGAAAAGCAACGAGCCACGCTGACGGGCAAGGATTGGCTGGGCGGAACCGTGGCTGGATGGCGGCACGAAAGATTTGGAGAGAGGGGAATACACGCAAGGGGAATATGCCGAATGCGGAAAATATCGAAGCCTTTTAGCAATGTCGGGAGATTAGCTTCTCATTCTTATATCGCTGTTTACGAGAACTGGCTGCGCTGTATACTCGTTGCCAGCACGAGGTGCATAGTAGCGAGTATGACTCGTCGCCACTCTTCCCGAAGTCTCCAGCATTCCACAGCTGCTGTCAATCCACTACTCTTCGTCCGAATTCCACGCGGCTGAGCCCTCTTTGCGTCCAACCGACACGTAGCACATACTGCGCTGATTGATAACCATTGATTGCCATTCGACGTTCGCTCGCACTCAACGCGACGGATAAGAATTTTAGACCGCGTCTGTTAGGAAACGAGACCCTAGGAGCACCTGAGTGCGGTAGCAGCGGATAGCAGTAGCGTCTGTCGCGTCAGCAAGCGCAGTTCTTGGTCGCTCTCCGTCGTATCCCGCGGTTCACCTGGCCGCGCGCTTCCCCGCCTCCATGGTACGCGAGTCAACGGCGACGCGCGTTACTCCACTCCTCCGCGCGCTGATGCATCGCTCTACGATGCCAAGCGTCCGCGAATCCATTCAGCAGATTTCCGAGCCCATTTCTTCCTTTCCCTTATCCTCCCAAGGTCCCCACCCATCCAGGCCGTTCCTTATCGTTCCCCCTATCCGTCTCCTCTTCCCCGCCTTCTCCCCTCTCCGCGTTCTCTCTTCTCCCCCAACCCCCCCCTTCCCCCCCGCCCCCGGTCCGCGGCCAGTCGATGTACGTGCGGGCCAAGCGGCGGGCGACGACGTACTTCCTCTACTGCGAGCCGTCGCAGAAGGTGCTGCAGGTGAAGCAGAACCTGGAGGTGCTGTGCGGGCAGGCGGCGGGCGACATTCGGCTCGTGCTGCTGCACAGCAACGCCGTTCTGGATGACAACAGAACGCTAGCGGAGCAGCGGGTAGGGACGATCCGCCAAGCTTCCCTCTGTGCCTTCCCATGTGCCTGCCCGTATGCCTCCCCATATTCTTCCCCGTGCCGTGTGCCTCACCATGTGCTTCCCCGTATGTCTCCCATTATGCTTTCCCGTGTCCTTCACGCATGCATATGCATGTGGCAGGTGGAGAACGATGCAGTGGTGGCGCTCACATACCGCCTCTCAGGTTCACCTCTCCCCTCGCCTTCTTCCCCCTCACACATGTTGTGCCCGAACCAATATGTTATGTGGGTTTGTATGGCACAGCAAAAGCCGAGCCTCATTAGTTTGTCTCCCATTATCCACCTTCCCTCCCAATGCCTGTCACCATCCCTAACCCATGTGCCTGGCTATGCGCTATGCAGATGATGAGTGGGAGCCAGTATGCATAGACAAGCCTGATGATGGCGCAGCAGACATGGACCACATGGGCTGACGGGGGATGGGACCACATAGGCTGACACTGGATGGGGAAAACATTGCCCGACTGACATGTTTGCTTGCCATGGGATGGGAGGCCATGTTCACTGTACTCCCTCTTCTGTGGCGGTCCTTTAGCCAATTATTATTGACCAGTCCAGTGGTGGGAACGAGGGAAAAAGGGCGCACATAAAGCTGTAATAACGCTCCCTTGTTCCTTGCCACAACTGCACTGCAGAATGTGTTGGGAAACAAATGATATGATTTGGAATCAACAAAGAGCAATAAACTGGCAATACCGTATAATTACAGAAGGGACCGTTGCTGAAACCAAGACTTGTCACAAGCAGCAGCTTCATGCCTGCCCCTTTGCAGCATTACCTTTACCCTGGGGGCTGTCTGGCAGGTCAGCTTCACTGCCATCTGCGTCATCATGACTGCAGTCCACATCAGCTTTTTGTTCATCCTCATCATACTCATCTGGCGCCACCTTGTTGTTGAGAGCAAGGTTCTGAGGCAACGAGGAACAACACAGAAATGAATCAGCCATCTGTTGAGAGGAAAGAGTAACATGAAAGCAGCGCTGCACCTTTTGCATGGCCTCAATGAGATGGCAGCACACAGCAGTGCACCTTTTGAACAGCAAGTGCACCCACCTTGCGCATGGCCTCGATGTTGTCCTTCTCAATGCGGCGCACATCGTCCATTGTGAGGTCGCACCACTCGTCCATCCACCCGTACATCTTCCTATGCCCCTCCAGAAACAACGCCCTCTCTCCCTGCCCGTGGAGCAGGGACGGGGGGATAGGAGCGGAGAAGAGAGGAGAGAGGAGAGGAGAGGAAAGTTGAGGAAAGTAAAGAGAAGAGAGGAAGAATAGACCAGAAATAGAGCAAGCATGAGGTCAGCCATGGCCATGCGAGATTGAACACATCAACACTGCAAAGAGAGAATGATGCCCGTATCAACATATGGGCATCATAAGATTTTCGGTCCTGTAGACTGCCAACAAAGCCGAGGGGAGTAAGGTGCAACCGGATGCGGGATTTGGAAAAGAGCTTACGGTGAGTACAATGAACTTACAGCCAGTACAAAGAGCTTACAGCGAGTACAAAGAGCTTACAGCGAGTACAAAGAGCTCTAGCCTCTTGCCGAAGCCCCAGTAGGGCGCGTCCACCGTGACCATCTTGTAAGCCGTCATCATTGGCTCACATGTTGCCTGCTCCCCACCACAGCGTACAGCACACCAGGGGATGGGAGTGGATGAGGGCAAGGGGGGGCGAGGGGATCCGGGCATGGCTTGGGTGAGGAGAGGGGACAGGGGAGAGGAGGAAGGGGGGGAGGGGGGGGGGGGTGCATGGATTAATGCAGGATGCTGCATGCACCTTGAGCCGAGCACAGGTGGAGAAGATGGCTTGCCAAGAGAAATCCTTAACAGAAACACACCGAGCGGAGGAAGGAGCAAGAGGTTCATGAGCAGCAGAGCACAGCACAGCACAGACCTGCCAGCCTGGAGCGAGGGGGCCGCGCTTGGCTTTGGGGAGGGCGAGCTTGGAGGGGTCGATGCCGGACTTGGCAATGAGGCGCGTCCACATGTCGCGCTCGTGGCTCGCTATGTCCACCCTCTCCACCTTGCGCTGCTTCACCTGCTCCTCGCTTAGACCCAACGCCTGTTTGAGGGAAGGGAGATGGGGAAAAGTCAGGAACGGGGAGGATGGATGTGATCAAGGAGGGGGAGGAAGGTGAGAAGGGAAGAAAGGGAGAAGGAAACAAGCGAAGGGGGAAAATAAATTGGATAAGGAGTAGAGCGAGAGAAAAACTGAGGGAATGAGTGTGTGATGTCATCTGACAACTAGCCTGATTCGTCTTATGCTGGGACTCCATGACTCATATGCTCCTCCTTTGCGTAAGCCCTGCCTATCATCCATGACTCATGCATCATCACCCACGCGTACCATCACTAATTCATGCAGAATCTTCCCATGGCTTCTCCCCATATCTCCCCACCATGCCATTACCACATGCCTCCCCGTCATGCCCCCCCAATGCCTCCCCACCATGCCCCCCCATGCCTTCCCACCATGCCCTCCCCTGCCTCGCCGTCATGCCCATCCCCTGAATGAACTCACGTTTTCAGTGTCGCCTCTGTCAGGGAGGTGTATGGACTCGATGGTGATGGAGAACTTGGTTAGGTACGGGCACTGCGGGGGTGCAGGGGGGTGCATGGCGTGTGGCATGGGGACAGGGGTAGCGTGGTAGAGAACTCGGTGAGGTACGGACACTGCCGGGGATGAAGGGCGCACATGGGATGTGACATGAGGACGGGGACTGTGCACTTGGTGCGAGGGGTGCGCAAGGGGTGTGGCATGGGGTGCGCATGGGATGTGCACGGGATACACGTAGGATGTAGCATGGAATGAGGAAGGAGGGAGGGAGGGAGGGAGGAAGGGAGGGAGGGAGGGAGGGAGGGAGGGAGGGAGGGAGGGAGGGAGGGAGGGAGGGAGGGAGGGAGGAACGGAGGAAGGGAGAACTCAAATAAAGCGTTGGAGGAAGGGATGGTGGTATTGTGAAACACATACCTTGAGGACTGATGTTTGACCGTTGGAACGGCGTCAAATCACGGCGTTGCATCACAGATGGCCGAACGCATGAAGGAAGGGAGGGAGGGAGGGGGGGAGGGAGGGAGGGAGGGAGGGAGGGAGGGAGGGAGGGAGGGAGGGAGGGAGGGAGGGAGGGAGGGAGGGAGGGAGGGAGGGAGGGAGGGAGGGAGGGAGGGAGGGAGGGAGGGAGGGAGGGAGGGAGGGAGGGAGGGGGGAATGAGGGAGCGAGAGCGGCAGGGAGAGAGGGAGAAAGGGTGGAAGGGAAAGTGGGTGATTATGCATGCAGTAAGTGTTATAGAGGGACAAGAAGCATTTCATAGTCCAGCCTTTAAATTCCAAACTGTACGCGACTGTTCTCTCGTGTCCTGCTTTGCTGCACGAGTCTCCACTAAAATCCACCCAAACTGTTATTCTCCGCACCTGTTTTGCTGTGCGGGTGCTACGTGTTCCGCCTCTGCTCCGCACCTGTTTTGCTGCGCGGGTACGCGTTCCAGTTCTGCTCCTCCAGGCACAGCGCGCCGTGCGGGGCGAGCGCGCGCAGCCACGCGGGCGCCTTGCTGTGGAAGTGGTAGATGACGTGCGCCATGTGCCCCGCGCCCATGCGCTCGTCGCTGAACGGCTGCGACGCCACCACCTCCACGCCCTCGCTGCCGCGCGTGTTCTCC